CCTCTAACTCAACCACACCTCCAAGTCATCCAGGAAGGCTGCAGGGGGAAAGCCCAGAGTTCTATCTGGACCCCCCCTTTCCCCGGCCTTTTTTTCTTAGGTTCCCCAATTGGGTTGGGGGGCGTGGTCAAGGTGGAGGACCCCTGCATTGTTTTCCTTGTTGGGGTCCTGGAGGAAGGACAGACCAGCCCCCTCCTGGCCCTGGCCCTAGCAGAGATGAGGTCAGCCCACAACTGCTGGGTTGGGGAGGTGGGGGCATGGGCAGCCCAGGCAACGCCACTGTGGTCAGAAAGGAATGTCAGAAATGAGCTGAGAGGCAAATGAATAACTTCCAAGGCTGTAATTTCAGTGGAAAAACAACAGGCAGCAGCCTGTGTGGTGGGGTCCCCTGGGCTCCAGAGACTTGCAGACAGATGGAAGGAAGGACAGGCGAGGGGAAGGGGAAGGAGACTTGAGGCTGGGGAAGATCTCCTGGTGCTGAACCTCTAGTCCCCAAAACTAGACACCCCCCACATATACATTCCAGGTTAACTCACAAAAAGTCAAACCTGGCTGAGAAGGATTGCCAAGACGCGTCTCCCTGGCAGGGTTTTGGATGAAGCTGTATACTGAGATGCATAATGCCTATGCCAGGGCAGAGACGTCGTCCAGGCAAAACCAGGGTGCAGGGCTCTGGGCATTCCAGGCTTGCTCCCCTGGATGGCCCTGCCTCTCTGGGTCCAGCAAAGCAATATTCAAGCTCCCAAACTCCACCCCATCCACAGGCTCTTAGGTACCCAGTGACAAGGTGGCAGAAGGGAGCCAGACCATTTGCCTCTGAAAGTCTGATCTCCCTCAGAGCCAGGGGGAGATTCCTAAAACACAAAACGGGACCACACACCACTCTTCAGCTGAGACCCTTTCAGGGGCTCTCCACGGCTGCAGGTAAGACGAAAGCTCCTTAGAAGGCCAGGAGGCCCTGAGATCTGCTGGCTGGCCTCTGCAGGCTCATCCAGCCATGTGACACTTCCAGGAGTTCCCTACATCCCTCTTCCCTGCCTCCAAGCCTGAGCTGTTTTCTTTTTCATCAGGCTAGGGCCAAAGTGAGTGGCCTCAGGTCATAGCTTGAATTGCAGTTCTTTCAGGCAGCCTTTCCACCCTGTTTCGGTGGCTCCCCTGGACTCTGCTCTCTTATGGGGTAAAGGGACAGACCCACCCAGATCCATCCACTGACTCCTTACCTCCCACCCCAGCACAGCCTGCAGTTTCTGGGTATCACTTGTGATAGACCCCATCTCTGCTCTTATCCCTAACTCAAAACACCAGCTATTCCCCACCCTATAACTTCCTACCACTCCATCAGTTCTCTAAGCTACAGTCAGAGAATTCTCATTAGGGAGGCAACAATGGCACACAGCAGTAAAGAGTAAGTAGCTTTGAAGTCAGAAAGAAATGATCAGGGCACAGTGGCACAAGTGGCACTGGTGGCAATCCCACCCAGCTACTGGGGAGGCTGAGACAGGTGGATTACAAATTCAAGGCCATCTTGGGCAACTTAGTGAAGCCCTGCCCCCAAATAAAATCAAATAGAACAATTTGAATCCCAACCTTGAGTCTTGGGGAAGTTTATTAAGTCTCTCTGAGGCTTAGTTTCCCTCTCTGTAAAATGGGGGTAATGACAGTGCCCACCTTCTACGTAGTTAGGTAAAAGGACGATACCTGTTCTTATTAGCTGTGCTTGTACAATAACACAAGTTCTCCACCACTGGTCTGGGGTTCCCAAGATCCCCAGACGGGAAGATCCACTGTGGCAAGTCGCCTTTCCTCCTCCCCCACTCCCACTCCCTGCATTATTCTAAGGAACAGCAGCCGGAGGTCCAAGAGACAACATCTGGGCTCCAGGAAGCCCACCACAAACATGGAGCCCAGAAAAACAGGGTCCTAGACCCATGGGACCCTGTTGGTAAGCCTACTACATTTTAAGCTTCCAAATCACAAGCTCAAACCTGGAAGAAGTCTCCAGGGGCCCCGAAGACTACTCTCCTACCTCCAGTTATCAAACTGTCCGAGAAAGGGAGACATGCTCCTATAGCTTAAAAATCCCCACAACACCCCTACCCTGGGATGACAA